GTCAAGCTCAAGTCCAAAGGCTTATATAAATAGAAATTGCAATTTTTGTCCCTTAAGTTCGGACTAGTTACACTTTTATAATTTTTGGGTTTCTAACTTAGTGAACTAATTAGTTGTTATTTTGACATTTTGGTTCGATCTTGGTTATTATTACTTCAATATACATGTGTATATATATATATATCTTTGTCTTGTTTGTTTTCCTAAAAATGAATTGCATATATATTTCTATTTTTAACAGTCATTTAACTGATAAAAATAAAGATTTACCCGAAAGTGCCACTAATTAAAAATTTAAAAGAAAAAAAAAACAATCAGACTTAAGTTAGGTAGACAAAGGGCTTTGATTCATAATAGGCCATGTCTAATTGATAGTGATGGCAAATCGATAGAGTTCATATGAAGTGTTTACAACTTTTCTACTAGCTATCATCTTTGCCAATCACATGTCAAAATATGAGTGATTTATTTATTTATATAGGAGTTGTAGACTTTATACAAAAATTGAAAACTAAATATGTTTGTGATGTAACTTATACGTTCGAAATTAACAGCTATCAAATAACTTTTCAGCTAAATTTAATGAGTATAACTATAAGTTTTAATTAACTTATTGCTATCAACTAGATTTTCAAGTAAACTAGTACGAATCCCGTGCGATGCACGGGTAAAAGATATTCATTAGTATTTATAAATTAAAAATGATTATTAAATAATATTTACAAATTAAAAATATTGAATCAATATGTAATGTATTTACTTATATTAATTTATTGAAAATGTTATATGAATTTTTTATCATGCAAAATTACATAAAACATGTCAATTTAATTAGTATATAACCCGTATGGTGCACCTAACTGATAATAAATTACATTATATTTATTTCAAAATAAGTGTCATTTTAAAATATATATTCAGAAATTCGATTGGACTACAATGTCATTACATAAAATAATTCCTTTGGTAAAATTTTATCATCTATATATATATAATTACTAGCTAATAGCATTTAAGAAAACCTATTTAATAAAACCTCTAAAATTTTCCCTCCATTTTCGGTTACAAAATTTATCATTAATGTTTTTTACTTCTCACATTAATACATCCTATTGAGTGTAATCATGTATTTTTCTATTATATTATATAATAACTAATGCTAATATCAACTAATAATAACTCACAATAAATATAAATTGCATAATTATAAACAATTGTTTCAAGTTATTTATTTTAACATCAATATTATCCTTTTCTTTTGTATCTCATGAAAAACTTTCTTTAAAAACAATTAATAAATTATTTTAATAGCATAGTCAAACAACTTTAGAATCTTATAAAAAATTATTTTTGTAATAATAATAATAATAATAATAATAATAATAATAATAATAATAACAATAATAATTATAATAATCAAACTGCTATTATCAAATGATAATAAACAATTTTTCAAAATAATGAACAATCATTAATTTATTTTTCCTAATGATTAAATTTAAAAAATGTAATATTTTCATTATCTAAAATTTTAATATTAAATTCTCAAATATTACTTATAGTATTTTATGTACATCTGTGCATGTGCACAGGATATTTACTAGTATATTTAAAAATCTATGTGAATAATAAATACAATTATAAAACTTATAGTGTTCATTAATTAAAATGAATTTAATTTTGTGTAAACTATCAAAATAAAAAAATTTAAGTTGTTAAGTAATTTATTAAACTATAATTAATTGACTATTGCATTTATGCCTAAGTTATTATTAACACGTAAGTTATGAATAATTATTTATTTGACTTTTAAATTTGAAACCCAAATTTGAACTATACGATAAATTTCCATGTATATATATATATATATATATATGTGTGTGTGTGTGTGTGTGTGTGTGTGTATATTCCCTTATATACAATATTATCTCACAGTTTTCTAGAGTTGTTGTCGGTTAATTTTTAAATTTTATTAACCAATATTTGTTCAAAGATGTTTATGATTTTCAAGAGGACTACATACATTTTGTCAAATTATCATTAATATTTTATGGCAAGTTATTATAGAAAATGCTAAAATTTGAGAAACATATTACCTTGATTTTATAACAAAACAACCTAAAATTCGACTTTCATACCCATAAAATTTAATACCTCATAATAACAAAAATATCATTTTTCAATATCTTTTTGTTCGAAAAAGATACATTTATCCTTTAAAAGAGTTGGATTGCGTAGAGTTTTCATGGTGTTTTGCCTGATGAGTCCTCATGATTTCTTGTCAATACAGATTATCTATTTGTTCTTTATGTTTTGCTTGATTTTTTTATGAGTGGGATACAATAACAACTCAGAGTGTGTATGTTATTTTTATAGGCAAATTGAGTGTTAATTTAATAGGTGAAAAAAATATCTCGATATTAGATGATTAGAGTGTTAGAATGATATTATCTAAATATTTGAAATGATACTAGCGTACATTATGAAAATTTAGAATAATTTGATATTATCCATCAAATTAAACAAAAATTATATTTGGTAATATCTTTCTATTTTAGTATAAGAAAATAAATGGCCTCACTTATGCTTTTTTTTTCTTGGGTTGCGATATTAATACATAAGTTTAGCCATTTCAAAATCTTTTTAAATTAATAGTTTGGTTATCCACAGATTTATCAAATAAGTGTTTGGTGAAGATTTATCAAAATCTTTTTAGATTAGTAGTTAGTTATCCACAGATTCCATCATGAGTTATCCATAGATTATTGTTCAAATATTATCTCTACACCATTAATTTTGAATTCAAACTGTGATTTTTTCAGTAAAAAAAAACTACACCATTATTGTTTTTAAGCTTTCTATAAATAGAATGTCAAAGGTATTATTTATTTGGTCAAAAAAAGTTTCCAAAAAAAATTTAACCAACAACGTTTTTATATATAGATAGATTTACCAAATACAGGTAAATTCTATCCTACCCCATGGGGTAGTGCCCCCATGAGGTTTTGGCCACAAATTTACACACAATCACACGGCCAAAAACTCCATGAGGGCACTACCCACATGGGTAGGATAGAATTTTCCCCAAATACATTTATATTCCTAAAAGGTTCTAGTGATCACATAGAATTTCCAAACAGGCTAATTTCATGGGAGATTTCTTATTATGATTTTATTTAGGAAAATTAGAAATAAAATATCAAACCATCTTTGGACAAGTCACTTTATAGATGTTGATCTCACACTCAAGAAAGTAGTAAAATAATAATAATAATTATGAGGACCAATATTCTTCTTTAGATGGGCTCCACCAAGGGCAAAAATCTGGGATTTGTTGTTTATTTCAGGTTTACTTTGATGTTGAAATTTGCTGAGTTTGAATGCACAAAACCTTATTCCAATTATCATAACCCCTACAAAATTCTTTCTCATTTCCAGCTTAAAAATATTTACTATTTCCTGTCGAATAACTGATTTGGCATGGGATTATCACCAACAACAATGGAATATTGGATTAATTTGGGATATTTTATAGTTATTTCTACCTTTAACAAATCAATTTATCTGCTTATTTTTTATAATTTACTCTTTTGGTCACCTGAAAATTCATCCACTAGGCTTTTGAAGTAATATGGCCAATATATAAAAGCAAAATATTTAGGTGGTGCTNAAAATACAATTGCAAATCTTTTGCCGTTTAGATGCAAACATCTTTTTTCAGACTATTACGGGTCCAATACCGAAATCATGATAAATATTGTTATATCTACATGAATGGTGCTGCAAAAAGGAGTTTTCATCATCAATCACACTTGACTTTTGTATTCCACTAATTATGCCCCAAATTTTTACTTATTACAAATTGGCTCCTCACCACTGTTCTAGCCTCTAGGCTCAGCTTAGAGTTGAAAACAAGTCGAACGCTCAGCTCGAGCTCTCCCACCTTGTACTTTGTAAGCTCGATTGTTAGATAAGTTGCTCGATTTTATGCATAATACCCCTAATTCAAGTTTAATTTAGCCTAAAATAGAATGAAATTCTCCTCAAAATTCGAGTCGATCCCAAGTATTTGTAATATTGTTAAATTGAGTCGAGGCTTAACGAGCTTGGCTCGTCAAGCTCAAGCTTAAAAAAAAAAAATCAAGCTCGACTCGACATGCTCAACTCGTTTTATTTGCAGCCCTACTCCAGTAATTACTGAAATATTTACTAAATATTCTAAAACACGAACAAGTAATCGATTCGGACCGTCCATCGTCGGTTCAACTTGATCACCACATCAATTAATGAATCTAATAATTCATTTCAAAAATTGTAAATTATATAATATAAACTATTTCTATCTTGTGAATGTACATAGGAATAACAAAAATAAATAATTTATGTGTAAATTTTATACTTTAAAGTCTTAATGATATTGTATCTTATCATAAAAATTAACCACATATATATATATATAATTGTATTATGAAAATAAAAGTATTCAAAGAAACTAAAAAAATATTTGATCAAGTAGAATTGAGTTGACCCAACTGGGTCAATATACCGGGTTGACTTGTCCCAAGGACCCACCAAAATCAATCCCAAGTTGACCCGCTGAGCCAGATCGGGTCAAAAGCGTCTACAGATGATTTTAGTTGAAAATTGATCTCAGGATCAAATAAACCAATCGATATAATACGAACATGCTTATGGAATTTTAGAAGTCCAGTAAACTATTCAAAGTTAATATGGACAAAAATCAAATTTATATCATTTATAATTTTCAGATGCATAGCTGGAAACAGTATGAAATTAATTAAATTCTATGTTATGAGATTCAAAACAAAATCTCGGTCCAACAATCATCTTATTCTTTTTCATAAACAGCACACAAATATTTGTACAAATCGTAAGTACAAATATTCATCACAAACAGCAAAAAGCAATTTCTGTAAAAGAGGAATTCATGCACACTTGAGCCACCAGCAAAAGAGAACAGTGTAACTAATTAATTTACTTCAGTTTCTTCCTAACGGACGAGAAGAATGAGTTCCACTACCTATACTCGAATTATCTTTGCTCCAGTCCGTATTTTGAAAGCATTGCAATGGCTTCATTACCTGTCGACAAAAAAGGTCATTCAAACTCAGTTGTATGAAATTTACCCGAAAGCATTCACTGAATTTCAGAAAAAAAAAAAAAAAAGATCTATCTTTCGTAAATAAAGAAAATACCCCCATTTGAAGATGTATTTAGTAACTGGAAGCAGTGGTATATGAGATATTAAAATAAAGACTCGGGTTTTTTTGCAATAATTTAACCGAACGACAAAAGAACCTTCCAGCGCCTTCTATGGCCAAATCTGTTGTAGATGGCCTTCAAACGAGGAATAATTTTCTTAAATGTGGGCCGGTCGGCTGGGTTCTCACTCCAACACTCCTCAATCAACCTGTAAGAAAAAAAAAAAGAAAAAGAAAAAACACTCATGCGGGTTAGTCAAATGCTCTGCAAAAACAAAGATAAACGAGACTACAAATGACAAAAATGTATGAAAATATTGAAACTTACTGTTTTAAACCATGTGCATAAAATTTCGTGGAGGCCCTGAATGGGGGACGCTCGTTTGCAGCAAACAATTTGGGCACATCTTGATCGTGCTTTGAATAGAATGGTGGGCATCCTTCAATCATCTAGTTTAGTACAAGAGAAAACAAAAATCAAAATAAAAAATTTCCTTCTGAAAATATATAGACTTATAGCAATTTTATCCATTTCAACTAAACTGATACGAAAAAAATGAGAAATTCCATCTAATTCAAGACCTCTTGCAAAATTAATGCAAATGAGAATACATCCACTTTAGTGTCGTACTCTTCATTTCTGAAAACTTCGGGAGCCACATAACGACCTATCATAAGCACATTATATACAGACAATAGATACGCCGTCAAAATCACATACACACAGCAAAAAAAAGAAAATTTAAATTAAAAATAAAAAAATAAAAACAGCAACTCACAAGATGTATCATGACAAGTAAGAGGTTTTTCTTCTTTTACTCTATTGGCAACTTTGAGAAGCTTGCTCATTCCAAAATCTGCAACTTTTAGATGTCCAGAGTCATCCCGCAGGATATTCCTGTCAATATTACTCAAACATTTAGAACAATTGCTGTAAAGAAATTCATACAGGGCNAAACAAACAAAACAAAACAATTTTTCGAGATAAATTTCAGTACAAGTAACAGATTAATTGCTAAAGTAACATATATCACAAACAAAATATGTTGGCTATTTCAAATTATGGCCTACTTTCTCTTGAGTGTAAGAATCAAACAAGAAAGTTAACTTTTCTTCCATTGCGTATATGACGAACCTGGCAATATCCATTGCGAATCTGAGAGCTGTTGCTGGTTTAAGTGCACCTTTTGTCTTCAAATATTCACGAAGATCGCCCTTTAAACGCATCAAACATATAGTACCACTTATTAAAAAATAATACAGCACGTTACTTTCTAGAAAAGGAACAGATCCATAAATCAAGCAGAACTAACTGCTATGTAGCATGCAATGGTATTGTATAACTATTTATAAACAGAACAGCTTCCTTATGAATGCATACCTTTGGTAAATACTCTGTAACGATCATCATTGGACTGCTTTGAGTTACAGCACCAAGAAATTGAACAACATTTGGATGTCTTATCTTCTGAAGCAAAGAAAGCTCGTCCCTGAACGAATTCCTGCAAAAACCGGATACTTTAGACCGCAAAAATTTTGTAAACAATACAATGTCACATATATAAAAGACTTACACTTTATCCTCATCAGCAATTCCTTCCCAGAATATTTTCACGGCAACTTGAGTTCCACGCCACAAAGCAACTCTATAGGTTCCCTGTTAAATAATAATCGCCCACCATCAACAAATATATTTAATTGCATCAACTATATAAAATAAACGTCTCAGCCAGTTTTTATACAGTTCAGTATGGAAAACAAAGTTTAATTATATTATTCCAAATTGTATGAGTTACACGATCAACGGTGTGAATCTTAAATCTATATGCTTCTCTTGATCTGCTTATCATTACAAGACAAGTAAAAACATATAACATGAGGAAGGAAAGGGAATATGAACATGATAGATAATATTAATTTGCCTGCAGTTAAAACTAAATGAATCATTCTCACATCCCTCAAAAACTATACTTACCATTCAAAAATTGATTCGACGAAAATAACTAGTGACAACTAGTTACCTTGGAGATCTCAACACTGTTGGTAAAATCAAGTTCTTCTGGATCAATTTCGTACTCAGGTACTTGACGAGCGTTTTGGACATGCATAGGAGCCATCTAACGAAAAACAAAAACCGTTCAGATTAAAATTTAAAGCCCTCCAAGATGAAAATGACAAATAACATAAAGAAGAGACTTTAATCTATGGGTAAACAAAAGACATACCAAGTGCTTTGCACCATATTTCTCCAACAATTTGATCACACCGTGATTTTTATAATGCAAGGCATCTGCAAGAGGCTATATAAGGAAAAAAAAAATATCACACAGCAAGAAAGGGGAACTGGCTTCTACATTTGGGATTGAAATTAATTGAACAGCATAAATCATCAATAGATACTAGTAAAGCATTCAGAAAACAACTTCTTGTTTAAATACAAAATAACCCATCTTTAAGGAACAAAACAAGTAAACAGAAGGTAAGATAAACTACAACAACTGACTAAAGACAACTACTTTATCAAGATTAAGGTTATATACCGTGCTTCCCCACCGATCTCTCGAGTCCACCTCAGCTCCATGGTCGAGCAAGAGCTGTGCCACGTCATCATATCCCTGGCAGGCGGCCACGTGGAGAGCAGTCCGGTGATCAATATCCCGGAAATTGACATCACCACCGGAGGCCAAAAGCTCTTTGATGCCGTCAGAATCACCGGCATTGACCAGATACATCAGCTTCAACCCTGGGTCGATGTCGATGACGTCATCCTCTTCGTGTTCTCCTTCCAGGTCGTCGAGGTCCTCGTATTCCTTGTGGGGCGCCATTGAAGACTGCTTCCACAGAGTAGAACTTAAAGGGTTTTCGGATTCCATGGGAAATTTTCAGATAGCTTCTCAACTTGCCAACAATTGTGCACGCAATTTCTTGAAGAAAAACTCTTGAGAATCAAGAACCTGGATTTCTTCCAACCCAGATTCTTGATTCAATTATGGCGAAACGAGAATTCGAATTGAAGACCAATTGAAGGGCTAAAATCAAAGGGGGGAGTAAAATCAAAAGCCTGTAACAAACAATAATAATCCGGAATACTCGAGCACCTGTCAAGAAAATGAGTTGGAACGCTAGATTCTCGAAAGGCTACGAGTTGAAAATCCCAGAACAAATTCACGACCAGCTACCAAAACTAGATTGTGGGGACGAAATACAGAGGGAAATTGAGAGGACCCAAAAAATGCGGAAAAATCAAGCAAGATTCAATGTCGACACAGTTGAATAGAAAGAAAAGTGATGTCACAAGGGAGGAGAAAAGCGCGTGAATGACTGAATGGCTAAAGCGTGGTTGTGAAGATTCGACTTTTATGAATTATAACTACCACATTTCAGCGCTTTAATTTTTTTGCAGATGGAAAATTTAAATAAAAAAATCAAAATCATTTTA